GGGGTTGGGGGGTTAGGGTAGGGAGGGACTGGGGAAGTGTGCACACAGGCCCACACCGACACATGCACCCACACAAACACAGAGGGAAGGGGTTGGGATGAGGTGCACAGCAGGGTGGGGTAGGACGCCCATGGCCCCTCCCAAAATAGCCTCTCCTTCCTTATACCTCCTTTCTTTTCCCCTTCCCCATGGTAGGAACATAGCGTGTTTATATTTTATGGCCAAACTCTTGAATTTTGTTGTCCAACCTTCAGTACCCTGTCCTCTTTCCCTTTCCAGGACCACAGCTCCCGTCCTCTGGTCCTCTTGTTCCCTCCCTGGTTTCTTAGGTAGTTGATTCTCTCCTCTTTAGTCTTCCCCGACCTCCCCCCAACCCCGTGGCCCCTGACCCTCTCCTACTCTCTGTGGCAGTTTCATATTTGCTAAGACGAATTTGCTCATTAAACATTTTGTTGTATTTTACTTTATGTAGCTGCTCTGTGTCCAGTGTGTCTGACCCCCCTTCTCTTTGGTTCTGGGTGGGGGTGGTTCCCTTAGCGAAGTGCGGGCGCCTGGCTAGGTTTCCTTCTCGGGGAGGGCCTCTAGCCCCTGGTACTGTTACCAGGTGCCCTTGGCACCCCCAAGGGCAAATCCTGCCTGTGCGGCCCACTCCTTGGAGTGGGGCACAAGGTGTAGCCCCAGAGGGCATGAGGGGTGGGTGGCCTCGCGGACCCGCGAGTGGGCTGGAGCAGGTACGGCGTGGGCGGGCAAGGGTCTCCGTTGTACTTCGCCTTCCTCCCTCAGTGGCCGACCGAGCTGGGGCGGTCCATCTGCGTCCCCAGACCCCTGCCTCTGTAAGTTAGTCTTGCGGGAGCTCGCGGAGGCAGGCGGAAATGACGTGACGGCATCGAGCGACTAGAAGCCCGTGCGCCGGAAGTGAGGCCTGCCAGGCGGGTTTGGCCACGGAAAGGGGAGCTGCTGGGGCTGGGCGGGTGCGGAGGGCGGGGCTCGCGGCAACATCCGCTTCCGGTCCGTCGCCTCCTTCGGTTGCTTCCCGTAGGCTCGGCGGTTCCTCCCCCCCCCC